TGTCCTCCGACAGGAGTATCATGATAAGTATGTAATACAGTAGACCCCCCTATAACGCTTAGATACGTTCCACGTTAATCGAATTTTACATTGTAGGAATCATTAAATACATGAGCCAATTGCAGTCGGATAGGTGTGAAGTTTACGGACTAAAGCTGTTTGAAAGGTTTTCTTCTATAAAATTAACCAATTCTAGACTAATTCCACTCAACATTTCCAAAACACGTATAATTTTTTGGGAATAATCTGTATAAACTATGCTATATACAAAAAATTGTAGGATTACTTACCAAGTGTGCACCGTTCGACTACGCCGTTGCTCAAAGCTTGTTTTCGTTGCGGAACAGCGCACAAAATGCCGGCCACGATTTCTGACAACAAATTTTTCGCAGAAAAATAACTTGACCTTTGGAAACATCATTAATATAAATAATTTTTATGGCCATTGAATAAGAAATGTTTCTTTCACAAGAAATGTATAAAATTAGTGCTGTATTAGAGTTACGGTACCTAATTTACATACCGTACAGATGATAATAAACTCAACTTACTAGCCTAAACTCTCCGTAGCATGGCACCAGGTGGCGGAAAGCATATATATAATTATAATAAAGTTACAATAAATTAAGTTAATATATAATTATATCTACAGTACCTAATTTATATATAATACTGTACAGACAATAGCAAACTCAATTTAGCTGCTCCGTAGCGTGGTGCAGGGCGGAGGAAAGTAGTTTGGCTGCTCATCCACTATTGGTCCAGATTCTATCAATCTTGTCACGACACGAGTTGGCGACGACGTTTTAGGAGTTCCTTTATATGAATATTGCTACAATTTTTTCGCTACGTTATAGGAACCCACGTTATAGGGGGGGTCGACTGTATATATGGGATCAGTACGGATGGAATAACTAATTGTTCTAGAAAGTCTCCTTGATTGATAGGTTGTAAATGATAAAGAGCTCCTTCCTCATCTAGGAAGAACTGTTCCTTAAGATTTGGATCTTGAGTGGTTACATCTTCTAGTTGCTGAATTATAGGATTCCATTTTGGAACTCATCTTTGTAAATTTCGGATTTGGGCTTTGGAGTATATCGGGTCAAGGTCTTCAATCTCTAGGATTTGTCGGATAGGAATGCGACTTAAAGCATCGGCATTTTTATGACACTCTCCAGCTCTATGCCTTACTTCAAACTCAAATTCTTGCAAAAATATAATCCAACAGGCTATTCAAGAGTTTGTGCTCGAGTCTTTGTTGCTCATGAGCCATTTCAATGGTCTGTGGTCAGTGAGAATAATGAATTTCTTTCTGTATAAATAGGGTTTGAAATATTTGGTAGCCCAATCAACCGCTAGGCATTCTTTCTCAGTAGTGCTATAATTTTTCTCGGATTTCCTCAATATGCAACTGGCGTAAGCGATTGGCATTTCTCCCCTTTCATCCTCTTGTGATAATATGGCTCCAATGGCCTCATTACAAGCATCTGTAGCCAGTATAAAAGGTTTGGTGAAATTGGGAGATTTTAAAAGTGGGGTTGAAGTAATGATTTCTTTTAATCTCTCAACACTCCACTCTTGCTCTTCTCCCCATTGGAATTGAGCGTCATTCTTTAAAAGATCGGTAAGATTTTATGTGGCGCCAGTAATATCCGGTTAAACCTAGGAACAATTTGATATCATGTTTGTTGGCGGATTTTGGGAAAGTCAATACGCAATTGATTTTGTTGGGATTCGGTCTTATCCCTTCATTAGAAACGCTGTGGCCCAAGAATTTTTGTCACTGCAAGAAGTGACATTTCTTTGGTTTTAGTTTTAAGCCGGCAGCAGCAAGGCACTGGAAAATTTGTTCTAATTGTGAGAGATGAGTTTGGAAGTCAAAACTAAAAGTCAAGATGTCGTCCATATAGACGAGGCAAGTTTTCCCTTTTAATCCATGAAGGATGAAGTCTGCCGCCCTTTGCCAGGATGCAAGCCTCCCAGAAAAACCCATTGGCATACAATTCCATTGATAATGATTGTCGAGGCTAGAAGAAGCAGACTTTTCTTTATCTCTCAGGGCTAATTGCCAGAACCCCGAAAGGGTGTCCATGGTCGAAAAATATTTTGCCTGTCCCATCAAACTGAGTGCTTCCTGAACCTAAAGGTAATGGATATGGGTCGGTCTTGGTAACTTTATTGAGCTTGCGATAATATATGATAAGGTGCCATAGCCCTGGGTCCTTTATCTTGACTAATAATGCTGGTGCTGACCAGGGGACTTCGAGTGTGATATTATTCCATGATCTAATAACTCATCAATGATTTCATTCATCTTTTCTCTTTGAGCATAGGGTATTCGATACGGAGGTTGGTATATGGGAGAAGCATCTCCGGTATTGATTTCGTGTTCCACTACTTGACAATATCCCAAATCATAATCGTGAGTGGCAAAGACATGTCGATATTTATACAAGAGGTCTAATAAAGGCTGTTTTTTCTCTTTTCCAATATGGGACCAATTGAATAATTGACTGAATTTTTCTCTGGTAAGAACAGGAGTAGAGGATTTATTGAGAGAGCAGGGCATTATGGGAGATTTGTCTTCTACTGCTCTTAAAAAGATTCCTACACATTTGCCTTTCGCTATTTTCCTAGGTTGGGTGGAAAGGTTAGTTATACAGACTGGTACTTGTCCTCCCTTCATGGTTTTTGCTAGGATATCTGTCCCTATGACCCCCTCCTGGCTGCAAATAGAGGATTCTATAACTCCGATTTTGCCCTTTTGTCTTAATCCTGAGATATTGGCCATCGTAATTATTTCGGATCTTGGGGGAAGATTACAATCCGCCGATAAGGTTACATCTTGAGTTTGTTCGGGATTAAAATTTTTTCTTTGGCTATGGGTGACTTTGGTTGTTGATCGATTAAGAATCAAGTAACTTTTAGGCTGGATTTGTGTGCCTTTATGAGGTCGGTTTTTCTCTTCTGGCTTTAAAATATTTGATTTGTGTGAATCAGGGTTTTTCCAAAATGGAATTTCCTCTCCCCTTGGGAGGGTTAATGTTTCTCGTGCTAGACAAATTGTCAACTGTTGGGTTTTTATAATATCTCTTCCTAAAAGTCCATCAAATGGATGTGTAATCTGATCATCTACGACATAACACGAGTGAGAAAATTGTAAAGGGCCCTTATCAAAGTGAACCTTTATGGTCCCATAGGTGGTTATTCCATAGCCCGTAACACTTTGGAATGGAATCTCTCCTTTTTTCCAATTAACTTCTACGCAGGCCACCCTGTGAACTAATGATCGGGATAAAAGCGCGACTTTAGACCCAGTATCTATAGCCAGTCAAGCCGTATATCTGTCGATTTTACACGATAAACTTGGTTCATAATCCCAGCCTAGTGCTCAGATTCCTCCTTTACCTCTAGACATTAAAGGCATTCCCCTTCAAGAGATATATGGGTTTCTTGGTGTCGGTGATCAAAAATCTCGGGATAATGCAGGGTAACCCATTTGGGAAGACCGAAAGGGTCTGGCTGATTTGTGATATGATATTCTGCATTTCCACCAATTTACTTTACTAATTCTGCCATATGTCTGCCTCCTGGGTGGCTGGGAATTTGTTCGTACTTTTTCGCTTTTTGGTCCCCTTGATACATTCCTAGTCCCATCTCGGGGAGCATATGCAGCATCTCTATTTTTGATTCTAGTTCGATCCCAGTAAGGATATCGGGGCCCTCGCGAGCCGACTGGATGACGTCGTCATCTCTCAGAGTTGAGATATGGTGTTGAGTTGAATACTGAAGATCAACCTTTATTGTGACCTGATTTGAACTTATTTCCACCTGGAAACAAAAGAAGGATCAAGAAATGACAAGAGGGAATCAGCACCAATCAGAGCAGGGAATTCAAAAGTAAAATCCTTTAAATTCCCCAAATTACAAAGACAAAAGTGTAAATTTCCTACTCCCTCAGTTTCACAAGGTAACTGAGTGCATCTCTTTCCTGTGCTTGTGCCTTCTATCACCATCATTGTCAAGAACCACGGGTATTGTCACCTATGCCTGGACTATTGCCTATTCCATCTTTGGACTTGCTAACAACACTGTCCCAGGGCCACTGACACATCTAAACTGAATTCTTTCAATCCTAGTTGGAGTGAAGCATCTTCTGTATGAAATTATAAGATGTCAGCTTATTTCCAAATAAACGTGTTTCATTTATAAAGGTGCTTTGTGTCAGTAAGTTCACCATAATCCACACACCATCCTTTACCCCTCCTTATTCATCTTAACTTGAATGTAACTGACTCTCTCTTCCCCAGTTGTCAAACTTTACATCTGTTACATTCTAATTTTTTTGAGGAAGATCTTCAGAGTAGGTTGAAAATATAGAAAAGTGAGAATTTTCATGCCTGCTGGACTAATATTTTTGTGAAATGGTTATTTTTTTATATTTTGGTTTATAATTTTTAAAAACTCTAATAACTTGAAGTTTTTATGTAAAAAGTAATTCTTTTGTATACTTTCATTTAAAAATATAAAAAAAAACATTTAATTTATCATGTAAATTGATCATGTTCATAAAAATAAGGGTCATATTGAAAATATGAAAATAATCTCACAATATGTATTTATATTTTAGAAAATACAGGGGAAGTGGCGCTTCCACAGTTTGTGTGAACGGCACACCACTGATCAGAACATTTATAAAATGTAGTTATAAAGTACAATTTATAACTGTAATCTTTATTGAACAAATAACAAATGTATTGTTTATGCTAAATGCATTAAAATATTTCAAGTTGTTATATTTGCACAAGCAACAAACATGTTGCTAGGCCCTCCTTTTTTGTACAAGAAAGTTGCAAGAAAGCAATCCTAATAACAAAGCATCTGATAAGATATTCAAATTTTTAATATTTCAAACAATGTTAAAATATACAAAAATATAATTTAAAAATATCTTTCATATTATAGCTTTTTATATTAATATATATAATTATATATTTTAGAACAGCATATATTGTGTGGAAATGTTTGCTGGATGAAACAGAGAAAATTGCTAAGGCAAGACTTGCAGCAGCTGAAGTTTATCAGCAACAAGTTTCAGAAAATGCAAAAATACTTCGTACAAATAAAATGCAGCTAGCAAAGAAAGTAAGAGATATTGATTTTTATTTAGATTTATAAATATAATGCAAGGAAAAAGTTTAAGATGGAGCATAATTTTCTCAGTAAAGTTTTATAATAAAATTATAATTGAATGACTAAATAGAGCATGCAAATATAAGTATAAAGGCAGTCCCCAAGTTACATGTGAGATATGTTTCTGAAAATGTCTTTAAATAGGATTTATATATAACTTGGATCCCTGATGAACAATGCATAATAATAATAATAATAATAATAATATCACTGTATAAGACCATACAAAAAATGAGATTAGCCACTGTGAAAAATCCTGTACCAACAAACTGTTTATGCCATATGGATTTGTTTACATATAACAAAGAAACTAGTTTCCAAATTACATTATAATTAATCATTTTATTATAATATAACCATAAGTGCAGAATATCTTAAGTTGGGTCATCTGTAACACTGAGATATCACCTGTATAAGTTTCAATGTTTGTTATTAATATATTTAAAAAGATAATGAGTTAAAATGTTTTTCTTTAATAATACACTGGAAAAAAGTTTGAGACTAACTTTACAAATTAATGTTACAAATAAAATAAAAATTACATTTCCACCTGAAGAACTTCATAAAGTTTGAAAACGTTTGTGGGACGATCTTTTATAGGATACACGCCGGTAACAGTTCAATTTTTGATTGTAAGTGTAAAAATTACTTTGTTTAATAGTTACAATACTTTACTTATATTCAGTTACTTGTATTAAACGTGAAAACAGAATTGTTAGGGCCAACAAGTCAAAAGGAATATTACTCCAATATTCCAACAGAATTACTCCAGAGATTCTCTGTTGGGTTAAGATCAGAATAACATACTGACCATTTCAATGTTTTAATGATGTTCTCGGTTAATCATTCCATAGTTACTAAGTGCACCATGGATAGATGCATTATCTTGCTAAAATATAAAGTTTGCATTATATAGCTCATCTCTTAATGACAACAAGTGATTTCCAAGAATGTTTTGAAGTCATTAGTGTTTGATCTTGGGAAAACAAATGCCAAATTTGATTTTGCTTGTAAAAGCACCCCAAATCATAACTGAGCTTCCACCCTAAACTTGACAAGACAGACGATATGGAGCTTATCACAGGTCATGCCAATAAAAAAGTAGCCCATCAGGACCATCAAGGTTAAATTTTTTTTCACCATTAAATGAAACATTTTTCCAAAATTCACTATTTGAAACACACATCTTTACAAAAGTGAGTTTGGCTTACAAATGTTCTCTTATCAGTTGTGGCTATGCTTTTATTTTCACATACTGAAGATTATCTGATACTGCTATTACTCTAAGAGTAGTTCTTGATTGCTGGAAGCAGCTGCAATTGCCTTGTAAGTTTGTAGCAGACTCATTTCTGATGCTTGCACACTGAAAATTATCCTTTTTTCTCTAGCATATAACTTACATGGCTGTCCTTTCGTAATTATCAGGTTGTTTTAAATAATTATGAGTAATTATTTTTGATTTGTTTAATAATTTTGTAATTTTATATTGTCAAACAATCTACTGGATTTTATAGGGCTTTTTTAAGCTTATTTAATAATTAGAAATATAACCCAATAAAATCTGGTAGATCATTTGGCAATGTTAAAATATTTGATTATTTGTTATATGTTTGTAATTTCACATTATGATTTTCCATCTTGATTGTGTACATGAATTTGGATTATTATTCTAATCTAAAATTTATAATAAAGCGAATGAATAATAAATTAAATAAATAAATATTTTAAAATATATTAAAACTTTAAAGGTTAAAAAGAAAGTTGTTGTTTTTTACATTTATAACTGCATTTAATGAGAGACAAAGTCAATACTAAGGTGTTCAAACATTAGCTTTATTTTCTCCCAGCGATTCTAAATTATTTAAATTAATTAATTTATTTATAATTATTAATATTAATAAGAGATGGCGCCTAACGCTTACCTCTAGTGCCAAATTGATTACGTAATTTATTTAGTAATTAGCATTAAAATAGCCCGATTGATTTTCGGCATTCGGTTGGTGTGTTATTAGCTTTATTATTACTATATATTTTGGGTGTATTTTTATCTGTTTTTACACCCCTCTTCAGAACCTGAAGAGGGGTGTATTTGGCTTTGTCTTTGATTAAATGTAATTATACATGTAAAAAACAATGGTTACTTATTTCTTTTTAGCCTTTAAAGTTTTAATATATTTTTTAAAATTTTTAAAAAGAAAAACTGCATCATTGATATATTTAATTATATATTTTAAGTATACAAGATAAATAAATAAAAATTTAGCATAAAAATAAAATCAGTTCAACCAAAGATAGCAAAATCTTTCAGTTTGACTTTTAATTTCTTTGAATTTGTTATCTTATTAGTGTTTATGTGAATCTTTGTATTAATAAAATATCATAACTAAATATTGCCTCCATAAGAACTTTCTGAATCTGTCACTGGAACAAACTTTCTCTATATCAACAGTGAAGATGAGTCTTGCCACTTCACATTTAGAAGACTCAGTTTTTTGTTGTGGTTATCATGGCAGACACTATTAATTGTTATAGATTATCAAAGCTAAAACATCTTAAGCTAAGCTTAAAGCATATTTGAAACAAAGATTGGCTTACAGAATTTTATTGGAAGAATGACCCATATGTAAATAGTACTATATTTGATTCACTAGAGAAAATGAATAAACTTGTTGGTACCTTTCTCTTTTTTCATTCACCTATCATAAACAACCAGAAGACATCCCATTATATTTTATTATGTTAAGAAGTTTCTTGACATGTCAAAAAGTAAAATGATTTTTGATGTTATGGAAAAATTGTTGCCAAATATATGCAGTGGCGTATAAGCCATTGAAGTTGGACAGATTTTAACAGACAATTTACTGATTACAGACAGGAAATTTCAGTACTAGTCAAATAACATAAGAACTGTGATAAGCATATCCATTAACAGTATCTAAGAAATCTCCAAGTATATTCAAAATAATCATTGAGATAAATCTATAACACTTGTTATCATTATAAAAAATTAAAATTTATTGTAAAAGACAAGGTAATGAATTAAATAAAATAGATTTTTTTGTTATGTTTGATTTATGGAAAATTGTTTTTAATAGTAAAAAATTTTAATATGTAAATTTTCAGTTTTTCACAACTTGTTTAGAAGTTTATTACAGTGGAACCTCACTTAACAAGCACCTCTCATAACGAGTAATTCGCATAACAAGCAAAATAAATTGTAAAAAAATGACTCGCTTAACAAGCGACGTTTCGCATAACAAGTGACAAGAAGTCCCAGATTGTGTGCATGTTACATCAATCTGTGTTTAGCACTCATTCCACTAGCATCTTTGTGTTACTTTTGATCATACATTTTTTCAAACTTGTGTTCAGACATATTACATGTAAACATCAACAACCATAGCCCATTATATAATAAACATGCCAAATGATGTGCCAAATTCTTGGGTTATGTAAAGGCTATAATTAAATATAAGAAATTACATAATTTAACTAGAAGTAGGCAGTTATGTTGCCATCTCGTATTAAATTTAATTACCAATTCCAAATAAAATTTTGATTTTTTTTTTCTGAAAATCAAACTTGCATTCCAGGTTGGTTCATTCTGTGCTAGAAGAAAAGATGATGATTCATGCTCCTTAACAATGCATATTGTATAATTTTCTTTGAATAAATGTTATACATAAGATATTTGAGTATTTTTTTCAGCATGGAACGCATTATTGTATTTTACATTAATTTATAATGACAAATTTAAAAATATGACTCGATTACGAGTTTTTCGTATTATGATTCTGTAATGAATTATGCTTGTTAAGCAAGGTTCCACTGTATTAATTTTCAATTCTATTTTATTTTGTGTACAGAAACTTTGAAGTAATTTTAATTTAAAATTTATTTATTACTTTATATTATTATAGTGCTTTGATAATATTAAGAGAATGCAGGATGAAATACAGCAATGTATACAAGAGCTTGATAAAACAAAAAAGCTTTATTTTGAAGAAGAACATATGGCTCATGAAATAAGAGATAAAGCTCATGATGCTGAAGAAAAGTAAGTTAATTTTTTTCTCTTTTTGAATCTGTAAATTTATCATCATCAATAAATACAGGATTAAATATAAAAACCACTCTCAAGGTGAATCAAATGAAAACCTTAAATTTTATGTTTCATAATGTATTAAAGCAAAAGTATCTTACATTTTTCTATGTAATCTCCATTGCATTTGATACAAGTCTTCCAGTGCTTACAAAGTTTATGAATATCTCTGAAAAAATCTTATGGCTATGTATGCAGCCACTCATGCATCATTTGTTGCATCTCCACATCTGATCTGAAAGTTTTTCCATTCATTGTTTCATTGGATGGTTTAAAGATGTGATAATCACTGAGAACAAAGCCTGATGAGTTTAGCAGATGTGAAAGACACTCCAATTGCATATTTTTTTGGTTGCAGCTGTTGCACAGATAGTATAGAGTCAGGCATTGCCGTATTACTCAAAAGACATATGTACTTAGAAATATGTGTCACATGGATATGATTGTGGGTTGAAGATGGTTTCTGAGACAATCCAAATATGTGGCACTAGTGACAGTATTATCCTTGGTCATATAGAGCTTCAAAATGATGTCTTATTTCTGCATGCAGGGAAAATTATGTCAAAAAAAGAAAGAACTGCATGTACAACTTCTTTGACTTTGATGAGGATGTCAAAAACAAAAACACTCACTCTTTGCTTGCTCTCTTGGTTTCTGGCTGGTGGTAATGAATGTAACGAACTCAGATTTTATCTCCAGTAAAAATTCTTGTTAAGAAGTCATTACCTTCTGCCTCAAAATATTGCAAACGTTTTTCACAAGCATCAAGCATGTCATTGTTTCAACTATGGAGTCAGCTACAATGACACTCATCTTACAGACTCCTTGTGGAACTAGAGTATATCTTGGATTATGTGATATGTTAAATCATGACTAATGTCCAGAAGTGTGGCTCTGGTTTTACCATCACATAATAATTGTCCATCACAACATGTTCGACTTCTACAATTGATCGACCTTGTTAAGGAGCATTTGCCATTGAAAGCTTTTTTATATCATTTCAGATCTTCTTATGCCACTTGTACATTTGCTGGTATGACAGTCATACATCACTATATTCAGGGCCAGTTTGATGGCAGAGGTGACAAGGCAACTGCCTCAAGCAGCAAAATGAGCAGTTAAAAATGTTCAAAAGTAAAAAACTATATGTAAAAATAAAATTTCAGTCAACTCACATTAATATGAACCATTAAGGAAACAGTGGTTAGCTTGCTTTATTGAAAATTTATATTAACAATTTTCAGGATCAAAGTTGTATAATTTAGGTAGTTAAGGCTTAATAGATGTGTAAGTTTGCTGACTTGGTGGATATTGGGGACTTAAGATTCCACTTCTTACACCAATGTAAGTTTTCCGACTCTTAGGGGATCATTAATCCCACATCAGGATGATCTAGGGTCATTTGCGTGTAGGTGTGGAAGAGGAGACAGAGATGACAAGTATCTTACAAAAACTCATTTATTTTAGTATAAAAATAAACTTAAACTAAGAAACATATTTTCTGAACACAATCGGTTGGTTGGAAGTCAATAGCGTTGATGCTCTTTTAATTGTTTGTTGTAAAGGTGGTCCCAGGGCAGTGTTGTTAAACAGTTCGTGAGACTCCGTTGGTCAGCAACGGCATAGCTTCAGTATCAGCATGAAGACAGAAAGCTTCTTCTGAAATGTGTTGACACAGCACTTTCAATTTTCACTCCTTTGTGTTGACTCACCGAGTGCTTTCTGCCAAGTGCTTCCTGCTGAATGCTTCTTGCCAAGTGCCAATCAGGAATTACATCAATCTCCGTTCTCCCCATTTTGTTCATCCTGATTGATTCCACGTTTGTTCCTAAGCAAAAGACAAGACCTGTTCAGGTCCCAAGAAGGTTCACTTCAGAGAATTTACCCGACACCATCCATTAACTCTGGACAGAAAGTGTTGATGGGACTTTGAACTTACGCTTATTTTACTCCATTGTTGTCTAGTCTATGATGTCTTAGAATTTTAACGACCTGACGTGATGTTCTTTTTTATAATTAACCTTCTCCTCTTCAAGATTTTCTGTGTTCTAATTATTTGTATATGAGAGCCTTGTCAAAGGTCCATCTCTACTGGAGGACACTCATTTACATTTATTGCATCATGTTTTACATTAATAGTATTTTTTTCTCGTCTTGGTTTCATATGACTAGAACAACTGAATTTGATCTTTGATTGGTTTTTTTTCATCTCTAGTTTTGTTTTAATAAATTTCTAATATAAATGTTTAATTTCAACCTGTTTTTTGGGACCTCACATATGTTCAGAATCTTTAAACTAAAATATTTTTACTTACTTTACTAAATAAAATTAAATAAAATTAAATTTATTTACAAAAACAAATTAATATTCTAAATAATTTTCAAATCAAACAAAATGAAGAGGAGATGGTGTTTGCTGTTTAAGTGTGCAATATATCATAGTGGTTGCAAACAGAGTTAAAAGGAATCTGCGATTTTTTTCTGTTGAAGATTGTTTAAAAAAGTAGAGAATATTTTTAGTGCCAAAAGAGTAAAAAAGGAGCCAAATCCAGCATTACTGTATGCACTCCCAAATATGCAAATTATGCATACAAGGTCTGTTCAAAAAGTATCGGACCTTTGGTCGGCAAAAATAAATTTATTGACTTTGAGGTACAAAACCCTAATCCCCTTCAAAGTAGTCTCCTTGGTAATGTATATACTTCTCCCAGCGTTCCTGCCATTGCTGGAAACACTGCTGGAACGCATCTTTTGGAATGGTTATCAGCCGGTCCGTCGCATTTCGCATGATGTCTTCTCTCGACTAAATTTGGGTTCCTTTTAGCGGCATTTTCAGCTTGAGAAATAGCCAAAGGTCACACGGAGCCA